ACTGATTCCTGGAGATGGCTGCCTTTATTCGCTTAATGGTGGTATCCAATGTGGGAGAGTATATGCATCCTGGTAGGTGCTTGTCTATAGAGTTTTCCAACTTAGTCCTCACAATGGACCTGAGAAGTAGATTGTGTTACCCCTACTTTATTGTATTGTAGATTGTATTACCCCTACTTTAAAGAGGAGGTTGGGACTCAGTGAGGCGAAACTTTGCAAAGCCCACACTGCTGGTAGCTGGCAGGGACTGGATTCAAGCCTGAGACTGCCAACCCTTGAGCCTGCTCACGTCTTTTTTGGGTCCCACTGGCAGCCAGGGGTGAAGAATAGGCCTCTTATGTCGAATCTACTGGTGACAGCTGTCAGTGTGGCAGAACAGGGCAATGTCACTTCTCTGGGCAACTCTCTGGGGCAACCAAGGAAATCTACTGTATGTTGTTGCAGGGGTGCCTGACAAGTCCAGCCCACAGAATCCACTTTTAGGGCTGGATTATCCTCTCCCTTACTGACCCACCTGCAGTCCACCTCTAAGATCTGCTGGATGTATCTTCAAAATGTTTTTTAAAAATCTGACTGTTTCTGGCAGGGCCCAGTGGTTCAAGCCTATAATCCCAGCACTTTGGGAAACTGAAGCGGGTGGATCACCTGAGGTCAGGAGTTCGAGACCAGCCTGACCAATATGGCAAAACTCTGTCTCTAGTGAAAATATAAAGATTAGTCAGACATAGTCGTAGTCCCAGCTACTCGGGATGCTGAGACAGGAGAGTTGCTTGAACCCGGGAGGCAGAGGTTGCAGTGAGCCAAGATCATGCATTGCACTCCTGCCTGAGTGACAGAGCAAGACTGCATCTCAAAAAAAAAAAAAAAAAAAAAGAAAAAAAAAATCTGACTACGTCCATCACCTCTGCCTTCACTACTCTAGTCTAAGCCACCAACATTTATTGCCAAGATATTGCCTTTATAACAATAAATAAAATTAGCTCATCACTTCCACTCTTGACTCACTGTGACCTATCTTCTAGTTAAAAAGTGATCTTTTTCAAACAATAATCACATCATGCCTCTTCCTTTCTCAAAAATCTCCAAAAGCTTCCCATCATACCTTAACTCACATTCCAATTCTTTACCATTCCCTATGTTAATCTAGCTCCTGCCAACATCTCTAGCCTCAAGTTGTTCTCCCCTGTGTCTGTTTTGCGTTGGTTTCCGTCACTAACTTGTGAGTGAGCCCAGCCAAGATCAGCAAAGCCACCCAGCCAAGATCCCTAAACGTGTGGGCAGTACAAGCTCAGTGTTGTACCTCACAGAGGCTTCTCGATGGTTTGTTACAAACACCATTTGGCAATAATTGGCCAGGCACAGTGGTTCACGCCTATAATCCTAGCACTTTGGGAGGCTGAGATGGACAGATTGCTTGAGCCCAGGAGTTTGAGACCAGGCTGGGCAACATAGCAAGATCCCATTTCTAAAAATTAAAATAAAAAAAGCCAATGGTTGACTTCCTTATCTGACTCCATTTGATGCTTGAATGCCTCCCACTGAAAGTGACTGTTCCTGTTTCATCATTTTCTATTTCTTTAGTTTTAAACTTTTAAATAAAACACACTGTATTTTATTTTATGTTCTTTATCTTTTTTTACTTTCTTAGCTTTGCTTTAGTTGCTTGTAGCAGTTATTACTACCTAAAGCTATATTATATAATTATGATTCTTTTTTTGTCAATCTCTTTCAATAAGCTCTCCTAGGCAGGGATTTTGTCTTATTTAGTACTGTCTCCTTAGGGTCTGTAACAGTGCTTATGCAGAGTAGGTACTCAGGAAATATTTGTTGAATAAAAGGCCGACATTAAATTCTTTTTAGCTTCAGGAGGCCTTCCCTGATTCCTGCTGATATGGCTTGACTGTGTCCCCATCCAAGTCTCATCTTGAATTGTAGCTCCCCTGATCTCCACATGTCATGGGAGGGACCCGGTGGGAGGTAATTGAGTCATGGGGGTGGGTCTTTCCTGTGCTGTTCTCATGATAGTGAATAAGTCTCATGAGATCTGATGATTTTATAAAGGGCAGATCCCCTGCACAGGCTCTCTTGTCTGCTGCCGTGACGTGATTGAGGATGTGATTTTGCTCCTCATTTGCCTTCTGCCATGATTGTGAGGCCTCCCCAGCCATGGGGAACAGTGAGTCCATTAAACCTCTTTCCCTTATAAATTATCCAGTCTCTGATATGCCTTAATTAGCAGCATGAGAACAGACTAATACACCTGCCTACCAGCACTTAATGGTTAGGTGCTTCCCTACTATTCTAGTGCTTTCCTATCTCAGCTCTTCAATATTGACTGCTTATTTACCTGTATTCTCCTCTAGACTATGATTTTCTTGAGATCAGGACCTCTATTTGAGCATCATTGTATCCCTAGAGCTTAGCATAAAGGCCTGGTGCATGGCAATGGTCACTAAACATTTTCTGAAGGTATGAGTACCTAATCAGGATCTGGTGAGCCCATTTTGGGATGAATGACTATTACTATGTGCTAAAGGAGGAAGCAAATAGAGAGAAAGAGGTGCAAAAAGGATAATAAGATGTCCTTATGGGCATTCGTTTTATTTGTACAGGAGCTATTTTATGAGCATTTTAAATTTTAGTTGGCTGAACTATCTACCCACAGATGATTTAAAATTGTCCCTGGAGAGTGAGTGACGCAGAAAAATGGGAATGACTGGTATTGATGTGTGTGAATTACACCCTTCAGAGATACTCAGCTGCCTGTATGTCAGTTACATCAGGCTTCTCCTCTTAGTTACTATATTTGGGGCATAGACTTGAATTCAGGAGGCTAAATATAGTGTCGAGAGCCCCAGGCAATTTATAGAAGACGTGGCCAAAAATTTATGTCGTATTTTCTATCAAGCTTTCATTTCAGCCTGTCCCTCATGTACTGGCTTTTTTGATCTGCTTTTATCTGGGTGAACCAGGAACAAGGAACCTGCTATTAAAGATATCTTTACCTAAGGTTAAAAAACACCCTCACTTGTGACTTCCAGTGCAGAGCACATTTAAAGCAGGTTTTTTGTTGTTGTTTTCAGCCTTCTCTTTATTTTCTTTCTTTTTCTTTTCTTTCCTTTCCTCTTCCTCTCTTCCTTCTCTTTCTTCTTGTTTAAATGGGAGACTGAAGCCTCATTAGAAGAGTGGAAACAGCATCTGTGACAGTAATGAGATCACCAGACAGTGAGCTTCTCCTCTGAGGTTGGTGCTGAAGTCAGTCCCTATTCCAAAGGGCAAAGTAGTAAAAACAAGACTGAGATGCCTTTGAGGAGTTTAAAGTGTTTGTCCAGTTCTGGGAAAAGGCCCAAACTCATGGTGTTAAGACGTAATCTGTGCCACTCCTTTTTAAGACATTTTTTTTTTTTTTTAATTTTTTTGAGACAGAGTTTCGCTCTTGTGCCCCAGGCGGGAGTGCAATGGTACGATCTCAGCTCACCACAATCTCTGCCTCCCGGGTTCAAGTGATTCTCCAGCCTCAGCCTCCCGAGTAGCTGGGATTACAGGTGTGCACCACCACGCTCAGCTAATTTTTTGTTTTTTAGTAGAGATGGGGGTTTCTCCATGTTGGTCCGGCTAGTCTTGAACTCCTGACCTCAGGTGATCCGCCCGCCTCGGCCTCCCATAGTGCTGGGATTACAGGCCTAAGCCACCATGCCTGGCCTGTGCCACGCCTATATAAAATACTCCTTGTTACTTAATTTTGTACTCTATTATGCCACTTAATGACTGTGTTGCAATTTATCCGTATATATTTACTTCTACTTGTCAGTCACTCCCAGCAAAAAATCACTCCTTGAGGGCAGCTTCCTTGTCTCATGATCTTTTCATTTTTTACTCAATGCCCCATATATTGTAGATGCTCATAAGATAGAATTACTGTTTGATTTAAACACACACACACATCACACAGTTACAAGTATATGCTCTAAGTCTTCCTCTAAGCCTTTTTCCAAAAGGACCTCAAGGTCCTTTTAGAAGACTTGTAAGATGCAGGGGTGGTGACATTTGTCATATCCACATTTATTTTGCCTATTTGGCTTGTGCAAAAGAAAGCAAGATGTTAGAAAATGCCTGCGGATTTTCATAAACTTACTAAGACAGTGAATCCAGTTGTAGCATCTGTTCCAAATATAGTACCTTTGCTAATACAAACCTTGCAGCCCCTGGATATTGGGTATGAAGTGATTGACCCAGCAAATGCTATTTCTTCCACACCAACTTGCAAAGACTGCCAGAAGGAGTTTGCTTTTTCCTGGCAGGGCAGAGTATACTTTCTTAGTGAATGCACAGGGCCATGTCAACTCCCTTACCGTCTGCCATATTGTGTCTGCAGAGATTTTGATTATTTTGACATTCCAAAGAATAGCACACTAGTCCACAGCATTGATGTCATTGTGCTGACTGGATTTAGATGAACAGGGAAAATCGCATACTTCAGATGCCTTAGGAAGACATATGTGAGCCATAGGAGGGCAGATAATTCCAATTCCTAATAACCATTACTGTATCAGTTAGGATCCTGTCATAAAAACAGATATTAGTTATTTAAACAGACAGAATTTAATATAAATAATTGGTTAAACAGAATAGAAGATTAAAAAAATTTTTTGGCAGAGGTGGGCGGATCACCTCAGGTCAGAGGAGTTCGAGACCAGCCTGGCCAACATGGTGAAACCCTGTCTCTACCAAAAACACAAAAATCAGCCGGGCGTGGTGGTGGGTGCCTATAATCCCAGCTACTCAGGAGGCTGAGGCAGGAGAATTGCTTGAACCCGGGAGACTGAGGTTGCAGTGAGCCGAGATGGTGCCATTGTGCTCAAGCCTGAGCTGGAGACCCTGTCTCAAAAAGAAAAAAAAAAAAATTTTTTTTTTTTGCAAAGATGAGTTCTTACTATGTTGCCCAGGCTGGTCTTGAACTCCTAGCCTCAAGCAATCCTCTTGCCTCACCTTCCAAATTGCTGGAACTACAGGCATGAGCCACCATGGCTGGCCCAGGATAGGGAACTTAAATAGCTAAAAGGGAATCCTGATGTATCACAGAGGTACTGACAGCATAAAGCAGTTGTCACTTTTAGGACACAAAGGCAAGATGCTGGGATTATTGGAAACTAGAAACTTGGAGCAGGAACCTTCCAGGGGTGGTCTGAGCCTCTGAGGAGTTTCAGGACTAAGAGAAGGGCCCTAAAGAGTTGCCATTCAGACCTCTGAGAAAAGAAGAATGAGATAAAGCACAGTGGGAAGTACGCTGGACACATGGTGGGGCCAAAAATGAAAATTCATTCAAGGTGGTAGAAAGATCAGTTTATACACACCATGTTGCAAAGTTTATTTGACTTGATTTATTTCAGGAATGGAATAAGGAAGTAAACATACAAGAGACGAAGACATTCAAGAAAATGGAAGATATATTTCATGCAGATAACCCTCACTTTTCTTATTCTACTTTGAAACCACTGTTGACCGATGAAAAACCTACTGAAAACAAACAGCTAGTCCGTGGAAATACATTTGCTGATTCCTGGAGTTGAGAGGCAGCAACACTTGGGCCCAAGATAACAGCGGGAAGTGCAGAGAAACTTCTCAGCCAGACTGAACTTAGTCCAAATCTCAGCTTTATCATAAGCTGTGATATTACTCAAGTTATTTAACCTCTGTACCTCAGGTTTTTTGTAATTGGGATAATTATTGCTACCATCACACGTTGAGTTCCACACAACTAAAACTGAAGTGCCATCATGCCTCCAACACTTACCCCATGCTTCATTTGTGGATTCTTTGCACCTAAATTATAATCCTCTATATTATCATAACCAAGAACAATCTGCCTATTTCTGATCCACAATACTTATTTATAATACCGCCTTTTTTTCCCCAATAGATGCCTGGAGTTTGAATCTGTTTAGCATGAACTCCTAGAAATCCCTCACTTTCTTGGTGTACACCCAAATTTGGGAGACTCCAGGTTGAATATCAGAAAGAGTTAAAAGGTTATCAGACATGTGATTGAAATTTTCCCCAAGATAGAAACAGGCAGAGTCTCAGTAAGACTAACAATAATAACAGTACAGGGATATCCCCCTAAGGACAAGGGGGAAAGACAGGGAGATCTAAAATAAGATGAAAATATGGAATTCAGAAGATGTAGGTTTACGTAAACTTTAGAAAGGGAGTCAGAGAATAAGAGTTTATCAGTTCACTCTAAGCATTTCCCAAAGGACTGGGATTCCAATTCCAAGTGAGCAAAGTTTTATCCATCTGGAGACGGAAAGGGCCATTCTTTTGCTTTCCATAGCTGATTGGAAAACATCTCTGTGTAACTTGTGTCCAGCAGTCTTCAGGCATCTTCTCATTCTAATTTGCTTTCCTTAGCAGACTTGCATGCTAGAAGGAAGTGCCCTCTGCTGGTGTAAGAGTTCATAGGCCAAGTCCTTCTCGCATTCTAATTTGGTACCTTGTAATTGGTTTCCTGTTACTGAACAGTCCTGAGTGAGTTTGGGTGATAATATTACACGGAGACCTGAACTGGGGCAGGACCAGCATCAGAGTAATTAGGGCCAGCATTCCACATCAATAGCATATATGTGGCTAGGTTCGGGGGTTCCAAAAGCCCTTCTAATCCCAAATTACCTTTGCTGCTCATCTGCTGTAACATCTGAAATGTTACCATTAAATTTATCCCATTAGACTATAGTTCCAAGAGTTACAAAAATGTAAGTTCAATTCAACCTAATAAACTCTTACTGGCTGAACCTTTAGTGTAGGGCATTACGATGGGTACTCGGAAATAAAAAACAAAGCAAAAATTAAGATGACGATTAGGTAAGTTTATCTATCACCCTCAACAGCTGCAAAACAATTGTAAGATGCAATGAAAAGTTAATATATCCAAAAATGCCCAAAGGAGGGATAAGGACTATTATGCCATAAAAATTCAAAGAACTGAGTGATTAGTAGGTGCTGGAGTAGCCAGACATATGACTTGCATCAGGACTTCAGAGGTAAATAGCCCATTCATAATGTTCATAAACAATTTAGGTTTCACTGGTGAATTAGCTGTGCAGGCTCCTTGAAAAGAAAAAGATTTAGAATGAATTCAATGACACCGCTCAGGGAGTTACTAAATTAGAGAATAGCTTACGTGGGAGACCCCAGGACAAATACCTGGGGGCTGAATTGTGTGATAACCAGAAAGTTTCCAAGGACAAATTTGAAATTTGACTATTTGCACAGGGATGTCAGAGTTTTGTTGGATGGTACCCCGTGGATGCCCTGACATACCCGAAGCTCTGTTTGAAAAACGAACACAGTGAACAGTGAAATGGCCCTATGCATAATCTCGGAAAGTCCTTGGAAATCCTGATGTGAAAGGCAGACTGGAAAAGGTCATTTTTGAGATTTTCCCTCCCCTTCCCTCCCCTCTCTTCCCTTCCCTTCCCCTTCCCTCCCCTCCCTTCCCCTCTCTTCTCCTTCCCTGCCCTCCCTTCCCCTTCCCTCCTCCTCCTTCTCTCTCTTTCTTTCTCTCTCCACCCTCTCTCTCTCTTTCTTCTTTCTTTTCTTTTTTGAGGCAGAGTATCACTATGTTGCCCAAGCCAGTCTCAAACTCCTGGGCTCAAGTAATCCTCCCGCCTCGGCCTCCCAAAGTGCTGGGACTGCAGGCACGAGCCACCATGCTCAGCCGCTGTTGAGATGTTATAAGCATATTGTTATGGAATGCAACCCCAAATTCATATATTGAAACCCTAACCTCCACTGTGATGGTACTTGGAGGTGGGGCCACTGGCGGGTAGTTGAGTTTAGATGAGATCATGAGGGTGGAGCCCCCAGGATGGGATTCGTGTTTTTTATAAAAAGAGATTAGTGTGCTCTCCTGCCTCCCAACCCCTCCTCTGTCAAGTGAGGATACAACAAAAAGACAGCCACTTACCAACCAGAAAGAAGGCTTTCACCAGGCACGAAAGCTGTCAGCAACTTGATCTTGGACTTGTCAGGCTGCAGAATGATGAGAAATAGATGTTTGTTATTGAAGCCACCCAGTCTATGGTATTCATTATAGCAGCTCAAACAGACTAAGATGCAAATCAATATAAAACACCCTGTGGAAAAAAAGAAATGCTTTCAATATCTTCTGGTGAAAAAGAACTCATAATAAGGATTTGACATTGTTTGACAGGAAGGAAGGCTTCTGTTTCTAGTTTTTTAGTTAACTTGACAGTGAAGTTCAAGTTTGACAGTTTAAACTTTCTTGGGGTTGAAATCATCATTGCCAGGTGGGGGAAGAGGAAGCAGGACCCACACAGGACTCGGGAGGGCATTTAGGTCATTCTACCCAGGCCATTGCCATTCTCTTCCTACTCCTCTGAAAGAAAGGGAGGCTTTGACGTCAGGCGTGGTTGAGTCATCTTTCCTCCCAGGGCCTCCGGCTGGGATTTGCAGGCTGTCTTTGCAGAAGCTATTCTGTTAGTCATTCACAAAAAGCATCCTGGGAAAGCTGAAGGGAAATGCTTGGATGGACAAGTGATTAAATTTCTATTTTCAAGGCAGAGAACCTGCTGGCTTGCTCACAAAAGCAGCTGCATCCAGTACCAGGCACCTCAAGGGCACCCGGCAAATACTTGTGGATTCATTGACAAAAAGACCTGCTGGGTTCTCTTAAATCTTGATGTCGAAACTGGATTTTCAGATATGATTATGTGGCTGGTAGATACGGTTTTGTGCCTGTTTACTTCTCTGCTCAAATGTCAAATCAAATTTATTGGGTTTACATAAAGAGGTTAGCAACATTGCTGGCCCTACTATCATGAACATTGTGAAAGGAAAATGAATAAGGCTCTTTCTGAAGCTTTATCTGCAGGGGGACATGTGGGATTCAATGGAAGGAAAGTTGAACTGTGAGCTAAGAATGATTGTTTCTCTTGCTCCAGGAAGCCCTCAGCAATCATTTGATCTCTTTTGAGAATCTATTAGGGAAAAGAATAAAAATATCTCCTTACCTGCCAGAAATGCAGGGAAACAAGAATGAAGCAAAAGGAAGAGTATGAGTCCTACATCCTTCCAGCCTGAGACAGGATGTATCCTTATTGCTTTGCCTGCAGTGAACTGACAGGGAATCTGATATGCATAGAGGCATGGTGAATTAGCCAGAGAAGTCTAGCAACTGCAGCCTGAGCCCCCTTCTCTTTTTTCTCTCTTAGGCGATCTCCACAGCTTTATATACCATCGACGTCCATGAATCTTATATTTCTATCTCTTGTCCTTCTTCACATATATAACTTTGTGCTTTATGCTTTAATGTGAAGGTCTGATAGGTATTTCAAACTTCACATTCGAAATGAAACTCATGACTTTCACCTCAAACATGCTCCTCCCTTGTCTCCCTTAGGAGGGACTACCGTTTACAGTTATCTAAGCCGAAAAGTCTAGGAGTTATCCTTGAATCCTCTGTTCTTTTATCACCCGTGAGATAAAATTTGGTATTAAGACAAATTCTTTCTCTGTTTCCTTCTTTCTATTTCCACTGCCAATACCCTAGAATAAACCATGCTCCTTTCTCACTGGTTGGATAGCAGTCTAGTCTCTCTTATTTTACTCTTGACTCCTATTGATACAGGAATTAAGAAGAAGTTACTTAGACAGATAGTGAGGGTACTGGCGTCCTCGGTAGGATTTTTCTTTTTAATGAAAAGCAGACCCAAATCATTTTCTAACAACTAACAGCCTGTAAAATCAAGCTGCAGACACAGTCAAGCAAACTGAAAGCTTGCAGGGGTGAATCCCAGTAGGAAAGAACTCTCTGGGACTAGGCATGTTCAAAATGGCAGCTCCATCTTCCCTTCCCTTTGCCAGCCAAAGGAGATGGCAAGATAGCACCAGCCAAGTTGAAAGCCCATTTTCATAATAAGACAGGCAGGATGGTAGGGGGTGACCAGCCTTCTCCGCATGCCGTGTAAACGTCACACCAGGTTGAACCAATCTGTGAGCGCTATGTAAATCAGACACTGCCTTCTCAAGCCTGCCTATAAAATCCGGTGAACTCTGCTGCCAACCAGTCTTTCCTCTCGGCAGCACTTCTCTCTCACTAGAGAGAGAACTGTTCTCCTTTCTCTGTCTTCTGCCTATTACACCTCTGCTCCTAAACTCCTCATGTGTGTCTGTGTCCTAAATTTTCCTGGCATGGCAGGACAAACCCCGGGTATTTACCCCAGACAATGAAACTACTTCACTATGATGTATGCATACTGCAAAGGAAAGTTCGTATACCATTTTTCTTAAAAAATTATTCAGGCAATTTATTAAATATTTCCTATAAAATATTATGTATCAGTATTTTACAGAAGAGAACAGTGATTTATCGGTCTTCATAACAACTGGTCCATGCAACAATACTAGTAGTCAACACTAAGCTTAACTCTATTTTCAGACCAACCATGCAACATTAGATTAGAGGACATGTGGGATCTTGCATCCTAATTCCTAAATTTACAGTCAAAATGTTTTCGGAGATAAGAATTATGAAAACCATAAGAAGCTAAAATAAGTTATTTATTTATATTTTTTTGAGATGCAGTCTTGCTCTTGTCACCCAGGCTGCCACGCAATGGCGCGATCTCAGCTCACTGCAACCTCTGCCTCCCGGTTTAAGCGATTCTCCTGCCTCAGCCTCCCAAGTAGCTGTGATTACAGGTGTGTGTCACCACAGTGAGCTAATTTTTGTATTTTTAGTAGAGCTGAGGTTTCACCATGTTGGCCAGGCTGGTCTCAAACTCCTGACCTCAGGTGATCCACCCACCTCGGCCTCCCAAAGTGCTGGGATTACAGGCATGAGTCACGTCACCTGGTTCTACCTCTTCTTGAAGTTGTTTCCTTTCCATCTCTTAGATTTCAGCCCTAAGGTCCCTTCCCTAAGAAGGCATTTCCGGGTACCCTTTCTAAAGCAGCAGGCTCTGTGGCTCCCTCGGTCCGTGTGCGTCATATCATTGTTTAATTCCTTTGTAAAATTAGCCACATACTGAAATTCTCCAGCTTATTTATTTACTTGTTTATTATATCTCCACAATCTCCTGCTTCTTTCCAAGTAAGTTGTGACCTCCATGTGAATAAGAGCTTTGTCCTTCTTAGAAGAGGCAATTATGGAGCAGTGATTAAGCTCTCGCACTCCAGAAACAGATTTTTTGGATTCATAGCCCAATTTTGCCACCTGCTAGGTATTTGACCTAAAATCATTGTTTGACCCCTCTGTTCCTCTCTGTTCTCATTAGTAAAATGATAGCAGTAAAAGGACCTGCCTCATGAAATTGTTGTAAAAAGATCACTCCCTGAAAGTTATCCCTGGCGCAATGCACATACTCAGCAAATGTTAGCTGCCACTGTTGATGACTGCACAGTACCTGCTTAACCCTTATTAGTAGAGTGACCAGGCCGGGCGTGGTGGCTCATGCCCGTAATCCCAGCACTTTGGGAGGCCGAGGTGGGTGGATCAACTGAGGTCAGGAGTTCGAGACCAGCCTGGCCAACGTGGTGAAAACCCGTCTCTACTAAAAATGCAAAAGTTAGCAGGGTGTGGTGGCAGCTGTCTGTAATCCCAGCTACTCGGGAGGCTGAGGTGGGAGAATCGCTTGAACCTGGAAGGTGGAGGTTGCAGTGAGCCGAGATCGCGCCATTGCACTCCAGCCTGGGTGACAGAGCGAGACTTTGTCTCAAAAAATAAAAATAAAATAAATAAATAAAGTAGAGTGAACAATAAATTAGTTTTATTTATTCAGGGAACACTTCTGCTATGTCACGGAGCATTTTTGGGAATACGCATAGGGGCTGAAAGAACAGGTGAGCTGTCCTCAGAAACCTCTTTGGATGATGGCTGGGTAGAACTGCAGCTCTGCAGAGAGATGCGAGCCAGTGTGTGGAAATGGAAAAATGATCATAATAGAAGCCAGAGATTGTATTTTGTACTGATTCTGTGCTAAGTGCTGTGACCCATTTTTCTATTTTGCCTTTCAAAAATTACTAATCCATTTGTGTGAAGTTTATTATGAAACACTTCTTAGGGCCCCTGGTTACAGCAACCTTCCTGATACTACAGAAACGGCACACGACCCATTCTCTGCTGGAACACGCCTGAGCTTCTACTCCGTGCCTGGTTAGGAACTGCCCATCTTCAGCTCCCAACTGGAATGGTATTGCCTCAGTGAAGCCTCACTTGACCCTGGCAGGATGTTCCAGATCTCCCTGGAGTATGTAGTTCTTCATGCCTTCTACCTTGCCTTTCTGGCATATATCACACCTGACATTAATTCGAATGACTAATCTGTCTTTCTTTCTTTCTTTTTTTTTTGAGACAGTCTCACTCACTCTGTTGCCCAGGCTGGAGTGTAGTGGTAGGATCTCGGCTCACTGCAACTTTCGCCTCCCGGATTCAAGCGATTCTCCTGCTTCAGTCTCCCGAGTAGCTGGGGTTAAAGGTGCATGCCACCATGCCCGGCTAATTTCTTGTGTTTTTAGTAGAGATGGGGTTTCACCACATTGGCCAGGCTGGTCTCGAGCTCCTGACCTCAAATGATCCGCCTGCCTTGGCCTCCCAAAGTGCTGGGATGACAGGCATGAGCCAGGGTGCCCGTCTCATTGGCTTTATTTCTTCAGAGTCTGGTTCAACAACAACAAAAGTCAGGAAATTCAAGATAAAAGAAACATGAAGCAGCATTTTAATGACCACTTGATGAAAAAAGTCATTCAGCACTTCATTACTCTCATTAAAATGAGAATGACTTTTTCACATTATTTTAATTTTTAGAGACAGAATCTTGCTCTGTCACCCAGCTGGAGTGCGGTGGCACCATCACAGCTTACTGCAGCCTCAAACTCCTGGCTCAAGGGATCCTTCACTTTCAGCCTCCTGATTAGCTAGGACTATAGGTGAGCATCATCATGCCCTGCTAATTTCTAAATTTTTTGTAGAGATGGAGTTTTGGTATATTGCCCAGGCTAAGAATAACTTTAATCCATCATGAGCTATACTACTGGTTTACAATTTTTGATTATTTATGCCAATGTTTTCCAGTAGGGCTTTGTAGAAAATTAACTGGAAGTCTGATGAAATTCAGAGAGTAAAAAAAAAGAAAAGAAAAAAATCACACTGATGATATCTTGGCAAAAGTAGGGAAATGACCAAAAGAAGGTGCTGTTTTACCCACTCGATTTATGGTCTATGAAAAGCAGAACTGCTTCTGAAATCGCCTTTGCAAAATTATGACTGAGACAGTGAAAGCAATCTAACTTAGTTGACTCCATCTTGCTTCTAACCTCCAAGCTGTTCTTGATCATTCCTGGGTATAAGCTAAACTAACTTTGGGAGAGACTCAGTTTATAGCTTACAGATTAAAACAAAGATGATAACACCCCTTTCCCAAAGCAGACTTCCTTCTTGCCTGGGGACTAGACTGCCTTTGTAGGACTAACAAATTAGCCACAAGATTAGAAATTAAGGTTTAGGAGTCTTGCAGCTGGAGGCTACAAGATTCTGACCCCCACTAAACTGCTCCTAAGATCAGTGCTTGAGATATTTTGCAGAGCCTGCACTTGATGGATCTGCTGGCATCACCCAGATTGATTAACTGGCTCATCTGATCCTGTGGCCCCCACCCAGGAACTGACTCAGCACAGGAAGACAGCTTTGACTCCCTATGATTTCATTGCTGACCTGACCAATCAGCACTCCTGGCTCACTAGGCTCCCCCATCCATCAAGTTGTCCTTAAATACCCTGCTTCCCAAATGTTGGGGAGACTGATTTGAGTAATAACAAAACTCCAAAGAAAAAAACAAAAACAAAAACAAAACGAAACAAGCAAACCACCACCAACAAAAAACCCTCCAGTCTCCCGCACAGCTGGCTCTGCATCAATTACTCTTTCTTTATTGCAATTCTCCTGTCTTGATCAACCAGCTCTGTGTAGGCAGCAGGCAAGGTGAACCCCTTGAGCAGTTACACTTCTGATGGGAGAGATCAGAATAATCAAAGAGAAGTTTGAATTCAAGGGCAAATTGTAAGACACTTATTAAGTCCGATTGTGAAGAAACCTATTTCAAATAGAATGTAAAGCCAAATCTCTTGTCTGGAATTTGATTTTTTCCTACCGTTAACAAATGAATATTTCAAGGAGGGATAAGATTTTTCATAAGTGTATATGAAAGGTATATTTACCATTTGAGATTAGATGTAAGAAGAATAAACTGAAATTACATTATTGATAAAGTTACTGCAAGATCTTTTGGTATGAACTGAGTCATACAGAAAAGTTTGCAGAAGAAAAATCTTGTGAACCAATGTTCAGCTTGAAAAATATGAGCTTATCTGAAGGGCTGAAAATGGAAGAAGAGAGTAACAAATGAGAATAAAAATGAAACAAAAAAGGAACTTTAGAATAAAAGGGAAGTGTATTTTAACATCTCCATCCTTTCAATTTTTTTTTTTTTGAGACTGAGTCTCACTCTATCACCCAGGCTGGAGTGCACTGGCATGATCTCAGCTCACTGCAACCTCCGCCTCCCAGGTTCAAGCAATTCTGGTGCCTCAGCCTCCCAGATAGCTGGGATTACTGGCGCCCTCCACTGCGCCCGGCTAATTTTTGTATTTTTAGTAGAGATGGGGTTTCACTGTGTTCACCAGGCTGGTCTTGAACTCCTGACCTCAAGTGATCCGCCTGCCTCAGACTCCCAAAGTGTTGGGATTACAGGTGTGAGACACCACATCCGGCCTCCATCCTTTAAATTTTTTTAAAAGTTTCCTCTTTTGTTCTTTTTATGTCTTCAACATTTTAATTTACATACGTAACTCTAACTTTATTTCTTTTACAGAAAAGCATCTTTTTGAATTCTGTATCTAAAGCAGTTTGGTAAACTATATTTTCCTAGAAAATCCTCCATTTCATCTAGTTTTTCAAATGTATTTGTACAGAGGTCTGAAAAGTAGTCTCATTAAAAATTTTTTCTATTTGAATTATTATTTCTGCTATGTCATTAATTTTGAGTATTTGTACGTGGCTTTTTTCCCCTCAGTTAGGTTAGCTAGTGCTGTAACCGCCCAATAGATTCACCTTGCCTGCAGGTAGCCAATTTATCAAGACAGGGGAATTGCAATAGAGAAAGAGTAATTCACGCAGAG